ATCACTTTAACCCCAAAAGCTATAAATAAGCGAAGGAATATTAATACAGGTCTACCCCCCTCCCCCATTTTTTCAGTTTTTATTATTATAATTCTTTAACATAAATTGATACCAGCAATAAACAGCAGACGAGCCCCGAAAGGCTGACCAAGCGAGATAAGGAAGCAGTAGACACAAAATGAATAGGTTCATTACTCAGTGACGGCATCCGGTGAGAAGAGCTGTGAGTACCGTCTGTCTGTACCTAACATTTTGTGTACGTATTAATGTATTTCCGACAGATTGTGTAAGCATACCTGCGGCATTATTAGAGAATTAAGATAGTTACAGTGTTGAGTCGTGGCGGGTACATGTTTACCGGAACGATTCAGAGAGCTGCTGTGTTATAGGGCCATATGACTAAAAAGTTAAGGTCACGGTGTTGAGAAAGATGTCCAGTAGCGTGAGTCGGCGCCTCCCTCGAGCACTGTGTAGCTGTATCCTGTATGTGTTGACGGTGACGTACAGGATGATTCACTCACACTGTAAATGACTGGGGTAAGTAGGTGTCGTGTCTTATATGTTTGATGTCTCCTGTTACCAATGTCGTGGAAAGTTTGACGCAGTGGTGATATTTTCCTCATGATGACGATTTGTATTATTGTGTTAAAGTTATTTCTCATCACACCACAGGTGAGACATTCGACTGACCTAACTTATTCTATAACACTTTCACCATATACAAATTAATACACTCGCGCATAATAACTAAACCTACGCTTGTACTGATGATTCTCAATAAATTTTCCAAATCCGAGCAGAGTGGATATAATGAACATATTAAAAGGTAAATATTAAATTGTGTCTACAACATATAGCGAGGCTGGGTGATACCGCTTGCTGCTGTAACTTAGTCCACTGAGTTTTAAATGTCCGACAAAAACTAATTTGACATAACTGAGAAATTATTACCGTGTTATATTTTTTTCATATTTCTGAGTTGGGAAAAATTTAACTGTTCTGGTGTATAAATTTGGTGAATATATTCATCATTATGACAATAGCATAACGTGGTTGAAAGGTTATACGTGTCTTAACAGTAGGAGCAAAACTTGAAGCATCGGATCCGAAACCGAATTTGTATAGTAATTAACCGGACGTGGTTAGGTGAAGTTAGTTTAGGGGCTACGGTAGATTAGGCCGAGTTTGATGAATTTTGGTTAAGTATGAGGAAGGTTAGGTTAAGTTAGGTTAGGCTAGGCTAGGCTAGGTTAGGTTTAATTCAACAAAGTTCCATTTCGTGTCATAGCTGGCCAAGAGGGAACTGAGACATTGATAGTTGTATTAAATCATACCATTATGTTTCTCCTCGATTAACATAAGGTTTTGTGTGACGTCAACGGGACTTCATTCTGACGTACATTAAAACAGAGTAGATATGATGTGTTTCTGTGAGACATCAAAGGGAGTGTTTTACATCTTGTTATACCACAGACCAGGTATGGTGTGTTGTTGTTTCAGACGCCCAAGGGCATGTTTAGTATATTCGAGTCCAGAGTGAAATTTAACCTAGACTCAAATCTTTTTAACTTGGCCGTGAATCTCCGTCTTCCATAAAATTTAATGCAAGCTTTCCCTGTCAGGGAGAACTGGATCACCACCATCAACATCATTCACCATCACCATCATTCACTTTCACCATTAACATCACTCTCACCATCATTCACTTTCACCATTAACATCACTCTCACCATCATTCACTTTCACCATGAACATCACTAGCACCATCATTCACCATCACCCTATCACAATCATCACTCACTATCACCATCACCATGACTAGCACCATCACTCACCATCACCCTCACCGTCACTAACACCCTCACTCACCATCACCCTCACCATCACTCAACATCATCGTTAACATTAGTATCACCATCACTCACCATCACCCTCACCATCACTCAACATCATCGTTAACATCACTAACACCATCACCCCTCATCATCACTCAGCACCATCACTCACCATCACCATCTTCACACTGCGACTTCCTGGGGTTGTATCTACAGTCACTTGCACCATCATATTACCGTGCACACACACACACACACACACACCCCACACACACACACACACACCCCCACACCCCCCACACACACCCCCACACACACACCCCCCACCCCCACACACCCCCACACCCCCACACACACCCCCCACACACACACACACACCCCCACACACACACACACACCCCACACACACACCCCCACACACACACCCCCACACACACACACACACCCCCACACACCCACACACACGCACACACACACACCCACACACACACCCACACCCCCCACACACCTACACCCCCACACACACCCACACCCACCCACACACACCCCCACACACCCACACACCCACACACCCCCCCACACACCCACACCCCACACACACACCCACACCCCCACACACACCCACACCCCCACACACACCCACACCCCCACACACACACACACAC